CAAAGTAAATTTTGCAAATATTTGATTATTTTTGTTTGCTTTTTAAAAGATATAGCAGGACGTAGGTACAATTAAGTGGTAAATTGTATAAGGCTACGAATTATTTAGAATTAGTGGTGAATGAAAATCTACTAAATTGAATTTATTAAACCAAGAATCACAATTGATAAACTACCACTTTAAAATATATATTTGCTGTCCGGAGCAAGTTAGAATCTCTGTATATATATATATTGTCTTTATTAACTGCGTTTGTGGAAAAAAAGGACTAAAAAAAAAAGAAACATAAATAGCCTATTCTTATTAGAACCGTCCAAAAAAGTAATGAAAAGTGGAGAAAAAATTGCATTTAAAAAAAAGATTGAGTAGTTCGGTTTTCATATACTCAGTAAAAAATAACTCTTTTTACGGCATAAGAATATCACTTAATATTGAAAATTAGTCATCATCTGTAATTTGAATGTTAAATACATCGAGGAACACGATACACACCATCCTATATCATACTAGTTTTTCTCAGTAAATCACGGATAGGGCTTCGACCATCTTATCATAATTTTAATTCTTTTCAAAACAATGGATTTTAATGAACTCATTTTAAATATTTTCATCCTTTTTCGTAGCTGTTTACGAGTTGTTTAATGCTTTCGTTTGATTAAAGCAATAAAAACATTGGATTTTATAATTTTTTTTTAAAATTTCATCACTTGTTTTTTAATAAGAAATCCACCCTTTTTCATAGTTGTTCAATATTTGTAATTTGCTGTTAATTCACCGTCTAATATTTTTGTGCTTATTACTGGAACCAGATTGTTTATCCTCAGCCATTTGTCTCCGAACAATATTTTTATTAATGACTAATAAATAATAATAGCACTTTTTATGAATGAAGATTAATAAATATTTATTGAAAACTATTATTATATTTATTAAAACTATTAACCCTTTGACGCAAATGGTACACCTGCGTCCCTTTTATGTAGTTTTTTCTGTCGTTTTAATTGCAAGCAAAAATATTTTTGGTATTTTTTAATGATAAAAAAACAGTTTAATAATTAAACAAAAACTGTGAGATTAATGGAATTATATTTGTACTAAAATATAAAATCCAAAAAAAGCAGTTTTGAGTTTTTTTCATTGATGTTTAAAAATTTATCACGAATTGATTTTGTAAATTAAAGCAATTTCAACGATGAATAACTGTTTCTCATTAATTTAAATAGCTTCAAAAACGTGCAAATTTAAAAAATTATTGTCTGTTGCCGATAAGCAATAATAGAAAGAACAAACGCAGAATGTCAATTGATGTCAGAGTGTCAGATTTTGAAGGTTTCAGTTGCTTAGTTCGAGTATTGAAACATAAAATACTAGAATATTTCATAAATATATATCTCATATCTTTATTTTTTTCTTATAGTATACATATACATTGGTTTCTAAGTGCCAACTGCTCCGGACACGCGAAAATAATTAAAAAGATGGTAAATAACAACAAAGTAAATTTCGAAAAGTGAAGTGGTGAATTATATAGGCCTACGTATTATTTAGAAATAGTGGTTGATAAAAATCTACTAATTTGAATTTATTAAATTAAGAATCACAATTCTTTCATACGTCAAATTGACGTTTGTCCGTAGAGTTAGGTATATAAGAAACTTCCGTAAACCTAGTGTTAAACTAAAAACTGAAGTATTTACAATTTAAATTAAGTTAAGAAAACACACAGTTAAGTTAAGTTTAAATTTAATTTTTAAGCAAATACGTATATAAATATTTCATGATAAATAGTAATTTTGAATAATATTTCTAATAGGATATATTAATTATACGTTTTTGAAACAAAAGCTTTAAATTAGAAGGACATAGTGGTCTGCTATTAAATATTCTTTTTGAAGTTATCTCAGTGCTACCAGTCACTTTCTTGGTCCTAGGACGGAGGTAAGCCTTTGCATAATATAGGGATCCAATAATTGTATCTAAGACCCTGGTCATGGCAGCTAAATTTATTAAAAAACAATTTCATAAAAAAAAACATTCTAAAATCAGAGGATGCAATTTTGCATGCTTATTGTTTGTAAATTCTTTTTTTTTAATAATAAAACATCCCTCGATCTCCATTTAAAAATACTATTCGCCTTAAAAAGACAGCAAAAAAACAACAAAAATGGTGTGTATCTACCACTACAAAAATACAATTCCAATTCACTAGTATTTAAAACACTTTGATTTGAGCCTCACTATGTTTAACAAAGATATATGCTTGAATTTAAATTCTTATCTATTAGACACATAGTTTTTAAAATATGTTTTCAAACCCCATAAATATTAATGAATCCCATCGTTACAATTTGTAGAATAGTATTAAGCCTTATTTTCGAATTGTAGAAAGTATATTCTGCTAAGCCTTACTTTAGAACTATAGTACTACAATAATAAGGTTACTATTAGCATAAAATTTACATTTTCGGAAGGAACATGTGTAATAATGCATTCTGACTTTCTATTATTGCATATTTCTCTCTGCAGAGGCAAAAGGAAGCGGAGTTACGATATGGACAGCTCAAACCAACTGGAAGATGATTTCCCCTTGGATGTACTCCGTGAAGCAAGACCCAAATATCCATCGAACAAATACGAATCCCTAATGTTCTCTCACAGGTTACCAGAAAGACTGTTCCGGTTTAGAACGAATGAGTTTGAAAACAGAGATTTACAGAGCAACGACGATGCTGCCAAGTAAATATATCTTTATTTTATAACGCAAACGATAATTAGAGTTTAATTTTACCAAATTATATCTTATATTAAATTAAAAAGTGTTGATGCGCTAGCAGAACTCCAATTCCAAAAATAGTATTTGGTAAAAGTAGTTCTATTTTGAGTTTTTCTTTTTGATTGCTGTTCTATTTTACAATGCTAACGATAATTAAATTTTAATTTTGTTCTATATATAATGAGAAAAGTGTTCATGCATAAACTCAACTGCAAATTAAGAAACAGTCTATTGTCCTTATATACGTGTGGGATTATTTCATTTTTTCTTTTTGATTTTTTATTCTATTTTGTAACGCTAACAGAGCAACCATTTTGCAGCGCTAACGCTACTTAACAACGCTACTTAAAATAGTTTTTAGAATTATCGATACGTCTCGGATCGATAATTCTAAAAACAAGTTGCAGGTTCTCAATTGAATTCTTTAGAGGAAATCAAAAACTACTTTTTTGTGTTCCTTTTGTGATAAAAAGAGTTGCTTCTTTTTTAGAGAATTAAAATATCTAAAACGATAGCTAATTAGCAGAGCTAAATAATAATTTAAGGCAAACTTAATGTGTTTAATTGTGCTAACATTTAAAAACTAATCTATACAATTAATAGGTTTTATATGCATGTTTAAGTTCTTTGTATGTAGCGGTGGCAAATCTTTCCAAAATTATATTTAATAATTCAATATAATATATAAAAATACTCGGATATTCGGAACACGCACACACACACATGTTCTTATCTACCCGTAACGATTAACGATTCAAAAAGATTGCCGAAGGTAGCACATACCGATTCGTCGGATAATTAAAAGCGATATAAATATGCAAATTAATAGAATAATGGAAAAAAAAGAAAAGGGAGACGTACACAAGTACAATCCTAGAGGTCAGGAAGACCACAATAGTGCCATGTGAATAAGCATTCAAGAGAAGTAATTACGGTGTATGGCACATGAAATAAAAAATTTAAATAAACCCGGCTATATACAACAGAGTGTGAAAAACATCGTGAAAATTTAATCAAGATCAAAACTTTTGTTAAATTTTATGACAAGACTGATGCATGATATCGATATCCTACGTATGTCAGGTGATTATTTCGGCCCCGTCAGGGGCCCTAACTCATTCATCTGAGAGGAGAAGTAATAAAACGTAGCGGAAGCTCATATCATTGGGGTAAAATAAAAATGGGCAATACAAGATTAATATAAGCAATAAGAAAAGGTATGTACAGGAATATTTACAGAGAAATATAATCTCAACTCCTGCCTGCCTCGTCAACCCCCTTGCGGGCTTCAATTGTGCACAGGCAGGAACCTTGATTAAAAATGTGATGAAAATATTTACAAATTAAAAGGAGAAACTTTTTGAAAATTTCTATTAGATATAATGCTCGATTTAAAATTAATCTGAATATTATTTTTTAATAAAATTTATAAATTTATTTTAGTGGTAGCTAAAGTTTTTTGTTTTGTAAATATATTTAAAACATATTTTCTGCATTGCTGCATGCAAATTATTCAAAACTTCATATGATTCGAACATTTTATCAATTATTCCGAATTGAGCCTTTATATATGTATATATGATGAAGAAAAAATAATCATTATTATGTCTTTTTTTAACAAAATTCCTATAATTCATAAAATATTCTGATACATTTTTTTTCAATTTTTCACTGCGTATTCTTGCTACATATTCTCGTACACATCACATTAAGATAATCGTAAAATTATCCAACCATTTAAACGTAGCCAAAAGTGCTTGGCATGATTTTTCACCTTTAATGACATACTACCTACATTTCAATGATTATCAATGATATTATTTTTAGCTCTGGAATCTATTTTCGGCATTCATTTCTTCGAAACTCAATTCTAGTGAACAAAAAATAACGATATTCTGATCAATCGTAAAAACAAAATAAAAATTGAATTTTATTATTATTAGAGAGGATTTTATTATATCTTTTTCACTTATTCATGCTTTTTGCTTTATAATGATACAAACTTTTATTCAATATTTCCAGCTTTATGTGTGACGTATTCCAAATTGAAACTGCGATTAATTAATGTTTAACTTCAAAAAACGCCTTTCTTCCTATTTTGGTTAAGACTATATCAAAACTAATTTTCTAAGCTTCTCAACATAAGTTAGAATGTTAATTAACGTGAAGTTAATTAAATATAGAGCCGTGTCGAACATCAAATTTGTTGAAATATAATTCTTTCTCGTCTGCGTCTTTTACTCCATTCAGATTTATTATTTGTTTATGTCTTTTATTGTAACCGTGATATATTTTTTGCTTTAAAATATTTTGATTTGATGTATTTTACCACCTGGCAACTTCGATACATAATTAGTTTGTTTATGTACTACAGGGCTTCATGCCTGTCTTTGTGTTAAGAAATATACAGTGTAGGACTAGAAATCCTTGCGAAAGAATATAAAATGAGTCACTTAAAAGAATTGATACTTGATTGGTTTGGCTTACTCGAAATAGAATGGAAAGAACAGTTACTAACGTAAACAAATGCCGCCTTTCAACAACCAATCAGGATGGCGATACCTACAGTACGTCACTTGCAGGTATCCCATTACATAGCTTCCGAAGCCAACTTCACCCAAATACACAGAGAATTTCTCTTTAATGTTGTGAATGGTAGTGAGAAAGCATTGCGAGTTAAAATTATTGTTCAAATTTGTCTAGTACTTAAATACCTTGAAAATGCTTTTAATACAGTACAGAACCCGTTATCCGGAAATCAGAAAACCGGAAAACCAAAAAACCGGAACGAAATTCGATAAATTTTCCCGCCATTTTAAAAAGAAAAATTTTTTTCTTCCTCATAAGATCTTAGGATTTTTCTTTCTTTTTGGAAAGATGTTTACCTTACTATCATTTTGGAAATAATCATTAGTGTATTACTTCGTTTTTTCTTCTTTTTAAGATTATTTCCAAATATAATTTTTTTTAGTTGGGTTTAACAATAAAAAAAAACGGCTTTTGTAAGCGATTCAAAAAATCGGAAAAGTCAGTTATCCGGAATAGCGATGGTCCCGATCGTTCCGGATAATCGGTTCCCTACTATATATTTAAATACTAGAATTTTAAGTCAACGCACTACCGCTTGACTATTAAGTATTTATTCATTTGGTTGAGTTATTTATAAGCGGGGCTGATAGTCGGAATCTTTTCGAATCACGTATATTAAACTAAAATAATAACCGCTAAAACACACATTTTGGAATCGAAGCAAAAGAATCTTTCGGACAAAGAGAAAACGGTTGCAGCCTTGATATGCCTAATTTTGTTTTAAAGAAATAATTCCTTAAATTCTATTTATAGATTGATTAAAGCTATCATTTAGCAAAACTCAATCTGATTAATATATGATCACTTTAGATTCGTTGAGACGAGTCTTCATGAAATTTTACTTAATTTCGCCTTTGTAGCGGAATTTAAAAGCTAATGGAACTTGAATCGGTTTCTGTCCTTTTGGAAATTTATTTGAAATTAACACTACGTTAGATAATGCTCCGTTAGTGATCCAGATATATCCTATCAAAAGATGCTGTTTTAAAATTGATTATGAATAATAAGGTATATTCCGATTAAATAACTAGATTGGAATGTTTGTACTCATGCTTGCTTACTTCTTGTTCGAGTTATGTAAGCAATTTAATTTTTTTTTCATTATTTATTTTTTCGATTCTGTCGAATCGATTTCTGTCCTTTTGGAAATTTATTTGAAATTAACACTGCGTTAGATAATGCTCCGTTAGTGATCCAGATATATCCTATCAAAAATTGCTGTTTTAAAATTGATTATGAATAACAAGGTAAATTCCGATTAAATAACTAGATTGGAATGTTTGTACTCATGCTTGCTTACTTCTTGTTCGAGTTATGTGAGCAATTAAAAAAAATTTTCATCATTTATTTTTTTAAAAAATCATAACTCGAGAGCTATTAGGAAAAATTGAGCAAAATTTTCAGATATTATGCGAAATGTACGTGGAATTTTTCAAAAGAAAAAAAATACTACATATTACAAAAAAAAAATAATAATACAGAAAAAGAAATTGAACATTATAGTGGTGATGCATGTGCCTAAAAATTGTAAAAAGTAGTAGCCACTTAATTTTTGGCGATTTTAGAAAACCAAAAATAGGGATCACGCTATTTTCAGTTTCAAAATATGCTGTCTGCTTTAAATTGTAAGGATGCCATCTGCGTCTTACGCTTTAGTGATAAGGCTTTTAAAGTATTTTCAAAATTAACCAAAATAGAGCTAATTCTCCACGATAGTCTAAAATCTTTCACAGAAAGCTAAGCAGTTATGTTAGGGGAGAAAATACATTATGAGTTAGCGTCGTACTTAACATAACTTTCCAAACAGCGCCTAAACAACTCATTCCAAGTATATTTGTTTGGCACTTTTGATACAGCTTAATAAAGCATCATCCTTATTCAATGCGTTTTAACAAGATGTATAATAAATTAATTTTTAATTTTCTAGTGGTATTAAATGTTTGTATTAAATGTAATTATTAATTTATAGGGATGCCACCTGTTTCACATTCCAGAAAGGTTTTAAAATATTGGTAGCAAATTAAATAGTAAAACTTGTTGAATAAGGATAATTACGCACCCTCTTTAAAAGAGTCACCACGACATAACTGCCATAAAGTTACATTTCATAGAATACTTTGAATTTTTAATATGCAATGATGAAAACATTACATAAAATGAAAAGTACTAAACTAAAAATAACTTAAATTTCGCTACCACTAGAAAATATTTTTTTACAAAGCGTAGCACGCTAGCATCTCTGTATTTCTATTTTACCTGCGAAGTCCGACTACCGGGGGGGGAGTCATCAAATGATCGGATTTTCATAATTTAGGATTCGAGGGGATGTCTTCAAATATATTAATTAGCGCAGGCAATATTTTAAGCTTCGAAA